GGGGGGGACTGTCAGCCGTAGCCCCAGATAACATGCAGGCTGCAGCACAAAGCAGGGGGAGAGAAGTAGTGAACTTATTTCTAGCAGCAAAACAGTTGGGGCAATGGTTGGGTTGTTTAAATTTTGTTAATTGTTTTTAATGTCCTACAGGCTCTGAGAGAAAATAAATTAGAAGCTGAGATTTTTTTAAAAAATCCTGTAAAAATGAGGGAAAATCTGTGTAAATTACGAAAAATCTGATCATGCAAGCAGTCGTCAGCACTGTCCTCCTCCAGATGCACATTGGAGTGCGTGTCTGAGCCGGCCAATCATTTTTTGTTCACATTGATCAGCTGACTGATACACTGACACACCTTAACATTCATGAGGCACTTTGCATTGACTGTTTATGGTTGAGTGTGGGCGTGTAGAGGGTAGAACCTGAGGCGGGACCTTTGTGTATAAACTCCGAGGTGCAGCTGTGATCTAAAAAGGAAAATTGCTTGAATGTGTGCAACGTGACAGGCTGTTTGTGGTTGTATAAATCCGATTTTTTTTGGCGTGTGCCATTTTTGCCTGTTGAACGTACACACACTTTTAGTATGAATTCTATGCAATCCTTTATAAATGAGGCATCTGGTACGTGGGTGCTTTGCATACCGCTATGTGGTATCTTGTTTGCATTCAAAGATTTCACCAGACTGATTTCTCGATCAATAGAGTGACAAACTTCTAAAAATAAAACACAAAGACATTTATTCAACTAGTAACTGGTTCCACTAACCAGGACGCAGTTTCAGGCTGATTTGTTGTGGACTCATCTGAACTGGATCCTGATCATTAGATGATGCAGACAGATGTTCTTCCTTATCAATGACCATGTGGTTTTGAGGGGAGATGATTTCGTTTGCTGTGCAGCCTCCTTTTTGAAGTTGCGCTACAGTGTCACAACGGACTGCTTCCTGCTCTCCTTGTTTGGTAAAATTCTGCCTCGGAAAAAAGAATGAAAAAAACATMATTTTTCCTCAAACAATATGTCAACGAAGAGCAGTTTTTCAGTCAGGATTATTGATTAATGTTGAACCAATTGTTAATTATTTTGAGTCCTTGACCCTCAGTCTTTCTCATCCAAAACAAAAAACACTTTGATTTATTGTTGTATATCATCCACAAGATGCTTATTCTCTGTTTTTCTGTGAATTCTCTGACTTTCTGTCTGACTTTGTACGTCTAACTCCAGTAATGGGTGATTTTAATATTCATGTAGATGTTGAAAGTCATAGCTTATGTAGCCTTCAGTAATATATGAGTCATCTGGTTTCACCCAAAATGTTCACAAACCCATTAATTCTCTTTATCACTCATGATCTGGGTCTAATGTACGGCATAAAGAGTAAACACCACWTACTCAAACTTCAGTTCGGTCTGAACATTTTGTAACTAACCTTGTAGTTTATGTTGACTGACTACACAATCACCGAGAGAAAATTTCATTAAAGTGAATGTTTATTAGTATAATATGCCAACATTTTCTCACAGCATGCTGTAATCAAATTTAAAGAGTATCTTACAATGCAACCCATTCTCACTCCCGAGTCGTCACATATTGACGTTTTTCAAAGGTCCCTTTGCGTCCAATTTTGACGCATCAGGTACCCCCCTTGCATCATATTTTGACGGGATGGGGCGGAATCTGTTGTCGTAATTTCTGAAAGTGTAGAAAATGCACAAATACTACCGTTCCAAAGCGTGAAATTACGTTTATTCACTTTAGACATCCTGTCCCAGACCCTAGTACCTAAAATTAACCATTAACCCTGATACGTAAAATTAACCATTTTTAGAAAATGTAGGAAATTCATGGCAACTACGTGTTGCAAAGCCTAAAATTACCTAATGTTCACTGTAGACATCCTATCCCTGACCCCAGTCCCTAAACTTAACCATTTATCCTGATGCCTAATGTTAACCTCAGACCCCCGACCCAAAGACCCCTGGTGGCGCAACCCGGAAAAGCCGCGGGCGGCAAGGACTGACGCGAGGGGGGTACCTGATGCGTCAAAATTGGACGCAAAGGGACCTTTGAAAAACGTCAATATGTGACGAGTCGGGAGTGAGAATRTGTTGTACAATGCAACAATGCAATGCAACAGAGTGCAGCAACTTAAATTATCTTATTGGCAGTGGTATGGTATGAATGCAAATATCACTTGATAAAGTTGCTCTTATGAAAAGAAAGTGATCAGTCAGAGGAAGCTGACTTTATTTAGAGTTACATACTTTAAAAAATACATCTAGAAAGCCCAAAAGAAAACATGGAAGAATTTTATTTAACCTGGAGAGATAATCTGCTAACATACAAGAAACTCATTTGTAAAGCTGTCCTATCTCCGTTGATGCATGTATTCTTATAAGTCTTAAAAGGATGACTTAATGAGATTCTTTAAAACAATATTATTTAAATTGGGGGGGTGCAGGGTAACACAATCCTACCTACTACTGCCTGTGATTTTCACCTTTAGAAGTGTTACTACAATCTGATTTGTGTTCTGAGTCTGTTTTTCTTATTGAACTATCCAAATTATCAAAAATGTTAGGTTCATCCAAACCACCAAGTTTGCCAGATCCTGTCCAAACCAGTCTGTTCAAAGATGTGTTTCAATTAAACATTATCATTCATTTTGGATTGATTCATCTAAATTAATGAATAGTGGTATAGCTTAGGACATTAGTAACATGCATGCATTTTATACCATGCAGCCACTCATTTTAGTGAAAAGGCTCATTACGCACTACCAAACCGGAGTGTAGACTTCCTCATCAAGGGGGTCACAGAGGTTAATGGTCAACAGCTCCCTGTCCAACATCCTCTTTGTCCCCACTGGCACCCATGTGGCTAATTGCAAAACTGTATCACACCACTACATAAATGAATGGAACAATTACCTGACTTAAACCTAGAAATATGCTTCAGATAATGTTTTAGACAATGATTTTTGTTGATTTACACAGTTCTTGCTTTGCTTCTGTCTTCTGACAAGTGCATTTATTTCACATGTTTAGTTTTGATGTGTTACTTAGGACTTAAAGAAAAAGTATCATGTTACACTGTTATGGACAACGTGACAGGCTGTGAGTTGTGAGGGTGTGTAGGCAGGACTTTTGGATCAAAGGTACTGCCCAAATTCTAAGTGTGTATGGAGCTAAATCACTGACAGCTTACATTGGCACTGAAAAAGAGATTTGGCATTGAAAAAAACATTGAAAAAAAAAACACTTAAACATAAAACATTGCCATTAAAAACCTTACCATGATGTTGTCATTTTATGCTGCAGATTTTTTTTCAATGTAACAAGTTTTCACTGCCAATTCAGAGTTCTTACCTACTGTACATGCCACTGCAAAGCTGTCACTGTTAACTATTTGTGTGCACTTTAAATATTAACCCTAATATCAAATGGATGGATTGTTTGTTTGGATCAAGATCAGGCTGAGACTGATGGAGAGTTTAATCCAGTCTGTTGTGTTTCCTGGTGCCTCGCGCTGCAGTAGCAACACATTGAAAATGACAATCATTTACAGAAAAAACAAACACGTGTCGACTATTCTTTATCATAACTTTGGTTTTACTTGACCTATCAACACAATTTACACAGCAGTGTATAGTTCGAAGTCTCTACTTTTAAATGCACTGAGTCATGCTCCCCTGCTAGCAAGCAGCAAACTGGTGAGGGGATTTTCTGAACGGAGGGGGGGTCTCATTACTCCATGTCTCATTGAGACTCGCTTTGGTTCAGGAAATCCACTCCACAGTTAGCAGCCAGCTAGCAGAGCAGCCGGCCAGAAATCTCTTCTGGAGTCATTTCAGCAGACAACATTATAGCACAGACACCGCTCACAAATCGGTAATCTCCCCATGTTGGATCGGAAAATTCCAATCCCTTAGTTGTGTTGGTAACGGAGCCCGATGCTGATACGTGATCATTCATAGTGATAATACAAAGCTAGCTAGCTTAGCAGCATGCTAAGCTCTCTAACACACATTTTCCAAATATAAATAACCATCCATCCTTTTTCTTCCACTTATCCGGGGTCGGGTCGCGGGGGCAGCTGCCTAAGCAAAGAAACCCAGACTTCCTTCTCCCCCAGACACTTGGGCCAGCTCATCCAGGGGAATCCCAAGGCGTTCCCAGGCCAGCCGAGAGACATAGTCCCTCCAGTGTGTCCTGGGTCTTCCTCTGGGCCTCCTCCCAGTGGGACGTGCCCAGAACACCTCACCAGGGAGGCGTCCAGTAGGCATCCTAACCAGATGCCTGAGCCACCTCAACTGGCTCCTCTTGACGTGGAGGAGCAGCGGATCTACTCTGAGTCCCTCCCGGATGACTGAGCTTCTCTATCTCTAAGGGAGAGCCCAGACACCCAGTGAAGGAAACTCACTTCGGCCGCTTGTATCCGCGATCTCGTTCTTTCAATCACTACCTAAAGCTCATGACCACAGATGAGGGTAGGAATAGACTGACTGGTAAATAGAGAGCTTTGCATTCTGGCTCAGCTCTTGCTTCACCACGACAGACCAGTTCAGCGCCCGCATCACTGCAGAGGCAGCACCAATCTGCCTGTCGATCTCCCACTCCATTCTTCCCTCATTCGTGAACAAGACCGTGATATACTTAAACTCCTCCACTTSGGGCAGGACCTCCTCCCCGACCCAGAGAAGGCACCCTACCAGTTTCCGGATCAAGACCATGGTCTCGGATTTGGAGGCACTGATCCTCATCCCGGCCACTTCACACTCAGCTGCCAATCGTTCCAAAGAGAGCTGGAGATCACGATCCAATGAAGCCAATAGGACCACATCATCTGCAAAAAGCAGAGACGTGATCCTAAGGTCACCAAAACTGATCCCCTCAACACCTTGGCTGGGCCTAGAAATTCTGTCCCTAAAATTTATGAACAGAATCGGTGACAAAGGGCAAACTTGGCGGAGTCCAACTCTCACCAGAAACGAGTCCGACTTACTACCGGCAATGCGGACCAAGCTCTGGCACTGGTCGTACAGGGACCTAACAGCCGTATCAATGGGCCTGGTACCTCATACTCCTGGAGTACCCCCCACAAAAATCCCAGAGGGACACGGTCGAAYGCCTTCTCCAAATCCAATAAATACATGTAGACTGATCCACTGTTYTATGACCAGGACGAAAACAACACTGCTCTTCCTGAATCCGAGATTCGACTGTCCGACGGACCCTCCTCTCCAGGACCCCTGAATAGACCTTACTAGGGAGGCTCAGAAGTGGACTTGGAGGTGGGACACTTTGGCGAGGGCCTGGTGGCTGGGCTTTCGCCCATGAAGCCCGGTCGKGCACAGCCCGAAGAATAGACGTGGGTCCCCCTTCCCATGGACTCACCATCTGTGGGACAGGCTGTAGGGGTCGGGTRCAATGTGTGTTGGGGAGTGGTCGAAGGTGAGGACATTGGCGGTCTGATTCTCGGCTACACAAACTGGCAAATATAAATAACCAATTAGCTTATTTTACAATTAGTCATTAATTTTGGAATTGTCATAAAGACATTTTGGAAGGAATGTAATAATTTTATATTTATAATTTATAATATTGACACTAAATGTTCATTAAGGTATGGACATATAATTTTTGGTTTTCATGGAAAGACTATTAATATAAACAGAAACCTAGCAAATAATCTAATTATAATGTTTAGCAAATTTCATACAAAGCACTTACAAACGTCAATTTTCATCATCTTCACCCTTTTTCCCACCTTCTTTTGATTAAAGAAACTGAATTATATTTATCCACTATATCAGTACAAATAAAAAAGCTATAAACACATGCGAATGTTGTAGCTCGTTAAATTTATTTATTTATTTATTTTTGTTTGTTTATTTTTTTGTACTAAGTGTATGTAATGTAGTGTGGCATCCTTTGTTCAATATTCTGTTATGTTCCTTGTTCTTTGTTCAACTGTTCTCTCTTTGTACATTTGTAAAGATTTGTTCAATAATTTATTCTGTTTTAATTCATAGACCTGTTTTAGACTTGGCACACAATTAAATTTCTTTGTGTTTCAATTTTTTTAGCGTCTTGGGGCCTCATCTATAAATGGTTCGTACGCATAAAAAAGTTACGTGCGCCAGGTTCTACACCCACATCGTGATGTATCAAAACCACCTGCCGTGAGAATGTGCGGCAGCCACCCAAAGTTTTTCAGTCCACAGTTTTAACCCAATCCACAGAAATATGACTTTGTTGTGTTTTCTGGATGTAAGGAGCATCTGAACACGGTGTCAGATTTTTATTTTAGTTTGAGTTTTTATTGTTTAAACTCGAACGATGATGAAACTAAACCCCGGGACTGAAAAACGCAAAGGAAAGCTGCGCAGGAACATGCGTGCGCACAGTTTTATATATCTGAATTTTTTGGTGGCACACTTTTTAAAATTTTTCCGTAYGTCAACTTTTAGTGTGAAAGCTGCGCAATCCTTTATGCATGAGGCCCCTGTTCTTCAGTCCCTCTCTGCTCCTCAGCTCACTCCCCCGTTCTCATTTTTGTCATTTTACCCAGATGTCTTTACTCCACCCATCTGTCCCTGTCCATAAAGTCTTTCAGCTCACATTCAGTCTGTCATTGTGAGTGCTTGATGTTATGTTCAGTTCCCCAAGTTTGGTTCAGTTATTTTTTCCATGTGTCTTTTGTTTTTGTCTAAGCTCTTCATGTCACTATGCATTCCTGCAATTCAGGAAATATACTGTATAKTGCTAATAATGGCTTTCTAAAACAGTATTTAGCACATCTGCTGCATGCGTTTTTCTATGTAAGTGTTTTGCAGTTTTTAAGAAAGTCCTTTTGTGAGCGATAATTTTTATAAGGTAGTAAACAGGATTTTTATGTGTTGAATCAATTTAATGTGACCATTCCAAATTGCATAGTGTTGTGAGTAAAGACTTGCATTGTGGGTTTTTGCTGCCCATGCATCTTTAATGAATTCTCAGAGTATTAAGGTACATATTGTATCAGTCACAGAGCAGAGATGCACAACCCTGTTGGCAACCATCACCTCACACCTTTCACACATACAGTATAGTCATTATTTCTCACCAGCTGTTTGCACCACGAGCAGAATGGCCCAGACTTGATGCAGTCACTGCAGGAGTTTATCACCGACTTTGAGCAAACTTCCTCTTGTTGACACAAACCTGCAGGGGAAACCAAAAACCACAAACATTTTCTCATAAAAGATTAAGCCTTAAAATAAGATGAAGCAAAACAAAGACAACTTATAAACATTTTTCTCATTCCTACTGCAGACATGGTGTGAAAAGATGATAGATTTGTCTTGGAGTTTTTTTCTTTTAGTATGACTATTATTTGTGATTAAAAACAACTTTAGRCATTTTAAGTCTTAGAACTTTGGGCTGAATAAAGCCATATTTATTGTTAGATAATGGTTTTGCCTGTGTCTGTGTTCATTACTCATCTACTTTTACAACTTATATTTTGAAATGAACCAAATTCAGGATGGTCAACACAGCCAGCTACTTCAAACACAAAAATGGCTATAACTCATTCAGTTTGATAGATGCTGAGCTAAAATTCGGTGTGGTAGTTGTAATTGAGAATCATTCTCAACCCATATTCTGAGATCTAACAGATATTGGGATATGCAATATTTCAAGAAATCGTAGGCCTTTAACTTAACGACTGCTAAACACTGCTTCCTGTTTGGAAACAGCTGCAGATGTGTCAGAACAGTTTTTTACTCAGAAACGGAAGTTGTTTTTGTAGAGGTCACCCCGAGGGGGAATAAACATTTCCACCTGTATTTGACCCTGGTCTCAGAAGACCTCCCTCAAAAGAGACATTTTATTTTCTTTAATCAAGATAATAAACAAAATTATAATGTTCTTTATATTTTGATTTATATTTTCTTTTAACTAAAAGTTTTTATCATCTTATAAATCAAAGTTACATAATGAAAAGAATGACAATCTATCTTCTTGCATTATAATTAAGAAAAATATGATATAAAGATAAAACTGAGACACTGCCTTCAACAAATCAAACGAATTCTAGAGCCGTTTTATCCAATCACAGCAGAGCAAGGCGGGGCTTTCAGTGAGAGCATGTTTGGTTGAAGCAGCGGATCTGGGAGCAGATAGGCACCGAGGGGGTGATGTTAGTTCATGCCCACGACCTACCATCCGCTGGACATAAGGGAAGCAAAGCCACTCTCAGGGGATTGAAACAAACTGCCTACTGGCCAGGAATTAAAAAAGATGTAAAAAGCTACACTGAGGGGTGCTTGGTCTGCGGACAGTTTCAACTGTCCAGACCACTTCACAGGGCACCACTGCAAAGCAGAGGGATTGCATTCCCTTGGYCTGACCTCCAGATCGACTGGGTTGGACCAATCACTAAAATGGCCAGAGGAAACAAATATTTTCTCACTGTGACTTGCACTTTTACAAAATGGGTTGAATGTCTGCCAGCTCCTAACGACACAGCACAAACCACTGCTATGCTGTTAATCAACCATGTGTTCTCCAGATTTGGACTTCCCATCAGGGTGAATTCAGATCGTGGAACACTTTACAGCTGAAGTGATGCAAGAACTGTGGAAAACGCTAGGCATCAAAGCCAACTTCCATATTGGCTACCATCCACAGGCATCAGGCCAAGTTGAAAGAACAAACAGACCTGTGGTAAGTATTTTAAAGAAATATGTTGCCGCAAACCACAAGAACTGGGACATAAAGCTTCCCCTGGTCCTTATGGTCATCAGGGCCACTCCACACACATCTACAGGCATCTCTCYCTTTGAGATGATTACAGGTCGACAGATGACACTTCCTTTACATCTCTTGTACCAGGATGGTGATGCCACTATGGCAACAGGCTACACCACACAACAGTACATGAAAGATTTTGAGAAACATCTGAAAAACACCTTTGTTTTTGCCCAGTGTAATCTTGAAAAGTCCGCTGAGGGACGCAAAACGTACTATGAACAAAAAGCCTCTTACGAAGAACTCCAAGTGGGAGAGAAGGTCTCGTACTACACTTTCGCCCCCACAACGGGAAAAGGAGAGTCCAGGACTGGAATTCTTTCCTGCAAACTAATGCCCAGGTGGACTGGACCCCACCGAATAACAGACAAACTGTCTTCAGTTGTCTGTCAGATCAAAATCAACAAAGGTCAAAAAGAACCAATCGTTAAGTGGGTCCATCAATACCAGAATAAACCTTACAAGGCCTTCAATAACCTCACAAAAGACAAAGATCTTGTCAGTGAGTAAATCAAAACTTCAAATAAGATCACAACAACGATCAATAAAAATCTAAAACAATTTTAAAAAACCAAGATAAATAGGTCTGGAATTTAACACATCTTAAAGAGAAAAACTCACAAAACTTAGCACCGAGTCTAAAATCTTAAAATATTTAGAGAAATTCAAGCAGGTCATAACAACCAGTTAGATCAACATGATTTAACTCGACCAGAGTTCAAAACGACCAGAGTTCAGAGTTAGCTGAGGCATTAAATTACCAATTGTTTAATTGCTGAGGCACTAACTTTGTTGATGTGTGTATGTTCTAGACCTCTTATTGTTTTAAAATCTGTCTGGTAGAGAGGTAATACTACTGTGGGAACAGTGAACAACACTGTACTGGTTCTGAACACTCACAGCCAAGAAATAAAGGTTTTGTATTGTTGTTAATGAGTTAAAGACTAAAATGTAATTTAACCATGCCAACATGCAGTTACTCGATAAACCTCATCTGTTTATTTGATAAGATAATGTAGATTAATGCTACTTTAGGTACCATAACCTACATTAATCTTGCAGTTTTGTCTCAACCTTGCTTGGAACAATACCAATC